TATATATATATATATATATAGGCTGCACTTATCTGTAAGCCTCAGGTGTCCACATTGTAACATTATATATTTACACAGATATGTTACACAAGGCAAAGCTCTCTGTTTACAGGTCAGTCTCTGTTCCTACCAGTCACAAATTTTGGGTAATGACTGAAAGAACAAGATTGTGGATAAAATGGTCAAAATGAGTTTTCTGTACTGCGGAGCTGGACTCTCCCTTAGAGGTAGGGTGAGAAGTTCAGTTATCTGGGAGAGACTTGGAGTAGAGCTGCTGCTCCTCCACATCGAGAGGAGCCAGTTGAGGTGGTTCGGGCATCTGGCAAGGATGCCTCCTGGACGCCTCCCTAGAGAAGTGCTTCAGGCATGTCCAACTGGGAGGAGACCCTGAGGAAGACCCATGTCTCTCGGCTGGCCTGGGAATGCTTTGGAGAGGTGGCTGGGGAAAAAGAGGTTTTGGATCCCCTGCTCAAGCTGCTGCACCTGCAACCTGACTTCAGATAAGGCAGAAGATAATGGTTGGATGGATGGATGGATGGATGAATGGATGGATGGATGTTACACACAGAGGTGCCTACAGGGTTTTATAGTAGGATAAACACAAAATCATCACTGCACCTTATCCCAGCCACAACACGCATCATTTAAGCCTGTTTGTAAAGTTTTAACCTTGTGTTGATTAGAGAAAAAAATATATAAATTCAAAGTTCTGCACCATTTTTTTATTGTTTAAATTGTATGTTGTATAAGCTCACTGTTGGAGGAAACAATTTAAGTAAATTGTTAAAAGCCACAAATTTAATCTCATATTCATGCCCATGATGATTGTGTGTAAACATTAGACTGCACTATCTGTATACTTGGCAAAACTTCAGCTGAGTTCTGATTGTTCTGTTTTAACACGAGGCCACACACAAGAACAGGATGGTCTCAGGGCTTAAAGTGGACCAGAAACCAGAGGAGCAGAGTGATTAGTCATTATATTCCCAAGCAGTTCCATTAGTGCTCTCATATCTATGAACCAGCTGTGCCAAACACGGCCACATGGAAAAGAACTTGCTCAGCAATCAGAGAAAGGAAAGAGCAAAGCAGCCTTTTCTGTAATGATCGGTCTCTGAAGCTCAGGTTATATTACAAATATGTTTCTTAAGCAGGTAATGTCTCTTTTTAGAGAATTATTACTGAGCCTTTACTATAAATGATAAAAGAACAACTAAATAAAAGTGTAACAGTTAAAAAAAAGGATTTCCATGATGCACAAGTTTAAAAAAAATCCAAAACGAAAACAACAAAACAGCTGCCTGTAAAGAGGTGTCAGGTAATCATTTCCTGTAAAACAAACCTCATCTTTCAGAAAGATGAATTCCTCCTACCCCCTCGCTCCCTCCTGCCACTCACTGCGCCGTACCGCTTCCCCCAGACTCCCCTCCTCATCCACCGGCTGTGGTGAATTATTTGTACAGTGGGGTACAGAAGTGGCAGATTGGCTGCCGTGACAAGTGCTAAACACATCTGAAGCAGCGCTCTACATCCATCCTGTGAATGCACAGTGTGGCCCTCCGCTCTGACTCAGAGGAAAACTGAACATGCGAGTACACGTAAGCGGCCCTTCTCCCCCTGATGACAAACTCGTTTACTGCATTTGCCAAAGCAGATGGTTGGATGATTTGTTATTGTTACCTTTTAGTGGGGATGGCAGGAATAAATGCCAACCTCAATGCTTTGTGGTGTCTGCTTCATGCAATGCTGACCTAAATGTCTGAGCCAGCATGTGTCTGTTTTCCCCTTCCTGTACTGCATTTGTCTTTGCCTCCTTCTCTTACTTTTGTCAGTTCTCTGCTTGCCTGCTGCAAATATTCTGTCACTCTTTATCAGCTTTTTGTGACTTTCAGCCATATTCTCTTTTTTCTCTCTTACAGTCTCCTATCTGCTCTTGTTCTTTGACCATTTTTCACACTTTGCGCAGTTGTTACCTCTTTAACTTCTTTCTATTCTTGTCTCAATTTCTCTTTCACAGGAAAGCGAGAGACTCTCTGCCATCCTTCCGCCAGTTCTTCAGCTCGGCGTTCAGTCTGACCCATGTCAGCCTGGCCTCGATGAAGGTCCCGCCTGATTCGCTGAGGTGAGTCACTGTAGCAGGACTTTAAATCTCTGCCAGCACATCTGACATGCAAATTACTCTGCAGGTTGAGCCAGAAATCCCTAACCTTATTATTGCCTATTTTTGAAATGCAATGGAGGATGATTATGTTTTTTTAGGTGTCTGTGTGTAAGATGATCAACATTGGATGATCTTAGGCCTTGTTCAGAAATGAACCATCTTTGGAAATGTTTRGTGTTTTTGCAATGTTGACTGTGGCAAGTCAACACAAAAAAAGAAAAAAAAACATGTTTGTACCGTAAAACTGTGGTTGTTGAATCTGCTGAAGTCTCCATGTTATAAGACAAGACAGATAGGTGTTTTGAGTTTTGGGTTTCAAGAAGACAAGCATGTATGCAGATAGTTCAGTCTTGAGCATGAAAACAGTTACATTACGCACAGCAAAATTTGTCTGGCCCAGTCCTGGCCCACACAATGCACTAACACTCGGCTCAGATTTCACAAATAATGATGGCCCTTTTGTGGCCCAGATGTGGTTTGCCAGAGGTGGTCCATGTGTTTTCCAAAAAAACCTCCAATCTGAGGCCTGAACTCAAAAAGCTTTAGTTTTATAGAAAAGGGCCATTGTTCATATGTACACAAACTGCTGAAATGCAGCAGAAATACTACAGTTTCACTCTAAAACAGTGCTTTAATCTAAAACTCCCAGTACAAAGTCTTTACATGAAAGATTTGGAAATTTTTGCTTTATGCCAGATGCCCTTTCTGACAACCTGGACTCAAACCTACAGACTCAAGTCCACAACACTGACCACCAAGCAACCGCAGGTCCCCTAAGTATTTAATCAAATATAATCTTTGTAAATGAGTGTACATATAAATATGGTGGTACCAAACAAAACAAAATAAGTTTTTTTAGTTAAAAAATATTTTCTGAAATGTAGCATGAGGATACTTGAAAAAGATTTATTTTAATTAAAATATCAGGTTTGGCCGATAAGGTGACCTGTGGAAATGGAGATCTGTGTTCTCTCAAGTGACTCAGAATCCATAACAGAGCCAGCCACAAATCGAAAGAGGATTCTGAAGCACCATTAAAATCTAAGTGATATGTTTAGTCCATGTACTGTATAAAGCTGGTCCCATTAAAGTTTAAAGTAAAACTGGATGAAAACAATGATCTCAAATTTAGATTGCTATCATATTTATACTGCTATTACTAAGAAAGTTGAATTTATTGTTAAACATTTTAAGTCATTTTGTTGAGTAAAACAGGCATCAGTAGAAACTTACTGTAAGGTACAAAAGTGGGTCTACTGTTTTGTCCATTTATGTGAAAATATCCAGAATCCTATTGTTTGAGTTGTGAGTGGAAAAGATGACAAATTAGAGGGGAGGTTGTTATAGTGGACCCAATGAGGAAAACATTGGGCCTCATGCAAAAACCGTTTGTACGCACAGATTTGTTCTGAAGTTGTGCGTACGAGTGATTTAGGAGAATTTGTGGCATTCACCAATGTTTTCAAATTCTACGATTTTTTTCAGATACGAACAAAATTCACGWGTGGTCCAAACCTGTCGTTTATTTTACGAGCAGTCAGTCTGCTGTTATCCAGATGGATTTTCTTCACTAATAACTTTATATTTCGTTGGTTTGAAGATATTTTAAGTTGAAAATAAATTACACTCCATAACTATGTTGACAATAGGCTATTCTGCTTGAATTAGAGTTATAATTTTAAATGTAATAATTTAGACTAACAATATAAATTGTCCGTCCGTCCGTTTTCTGCCGCTTATCGGGATCGGGTCATGGGGGCAGCAGGAGACTCCGCTCTCCCCAGCAACACTTTCCAGCTCGTCCTGGGGGACTCCGAGACGTTCCCAGGCCAGAGGGGAAACATAATCCCTCTAGCAAGTCCTGGGTTTTCTCCAAAGTGCCAGACTTTTTTTGAAAACATTTTAAAATGCTTATTTCAAACCCGCATCTGAGACCACCTGCGACCGCGCAGCACGCGGGGGGTGGGGGGCAGTACGGTGCGCAACGGTGGGGCTTCTGCATAAATGAAAATGATTTAACACAGTTGTTTATACTTTTAGCAGCTCTTTTTATTCCACAGCTGACCTGCTAAAAATGACAGATTTTCTTTTCTGGATCTCTGACAGACGGACTTCAATCTCTGAACTCGCAAAGTTTTTCTTTTTAGTTTTCGCTGTCATTTTCATGAATGAATGGACACTTCCTTGTAGCTGAAGCAGGAAACATATCCTTATATGGTGTTTTTGGGGTGGTAATTATGCTAAACTCCTCTAGCGTGCACGAGCAGCTGGATAGAACAGGTGTAAWTTACGCAGCTCATTTACACACTTTTCCTGAAGATAGAAGCGTTTGTTGAATCTGACGTGACATGTTCGTACGAACCCTTTGTACGAACAAAAGTAAGAGAAATTTAGGATAAGAATACGAACATGTTCTTGCATGAGGCCCAATGATCCAATAACACATAATTGATTAGGATTTTGTAATTTTTATTTATTTTTTACTGGCCTATGTGTATATATACACATTTTAAAATGAAATGGCACAATTATTAATTATTGTAATTCATTTCGGGGACTCCCAAGGTACAGCTCACGGACCCCAGTTTGAGAACCTCTGAACTAAGCAACCATTGAGCCACRTGGCTGCACTTTAAGCAGCTAATTTTTTGGAAAATAACTGTCTGTTTCTGTATGGCTCGCAAAATTTTATTTGTGGCCTTGCCACATCATTTGGTTATCAATGTACCCATCTTGGCCCACTTTGTACCCACTATGACAGTGGCCATCATATTGCAAACATTAAAAATATCTATATATTTTTTTGAACAACCATGACAACTATGTGACAATTTTAAAGAAAAAAATATATTTTAAATTTAAGCAACAAAACTGCAAACCTCTGTGTCTCACAAGAGGAAATTGAAAACTTGAATTGAAGAAAATGTTCTGAGATATTTTGAAGCCTCTCCGGCTGTTTGCCAAATAGTTACCATCACTCACAGCCCAGTGAAATAAGAGTGAGGTGCATCATGATGGAAGGTTTTCCAAATACAACTCAATCTAGTCATGTTATGTAGGTTGTGGAGAGTGCATTGGGTTCATTGTTTACTGTAAAGGGGAATTAAGTGAGACAAGAAAGATAATGAATCAACTGCCTCTGTAATGATCTGTCATGTGGATATAAATATGTCTGTAAACACATTTAAATAGAGCTGACACATTTAAATATGCATAAATCCCATATGGATCATGGCAATCTGTTCCATATTAAAGTGATTCTTGTGAATTATCCTTAGTCAGGTTTACAGATTTAGAAAAAGTAAAAAGAAAAATAAAACAGAACACTGGCAGTGAAACAGAGCGATGAAGAGTTGCCTTAATTTAAAGTCAAATTTATGCAAAGACTAAAATAATCAGTACATCTCTATTGACTCCACAAAGCAGAGAATGATACCCAACAGTCCACACTCATTTCATAACCTCAGCTTCTGTTTAGTTTAGAAACGTAGAACATACTGATGAGCTGTTCCTGATATGACTGCATTATATGAATTCTGCTGACTTTGGTGGTTCTGACTCATGTTTCACCATCTGTGACATGCACTTTGTAATTGGATCTCCTTTGCATCATTTGGAAAATCTTTAAACAGGAAGTATCGACTGAGAAGGGAAAAAAAGGGAAAAGAGAGAAAAAAAGAAACCTTTCAGTTGAAGCTTCTTTGTGCCTTTTGGTTATACAGTATATACAATTAAGTATTTTTTTTAAATCGGATCTTGATTTGAGTAGGTTCCAGAAGTTAATCAATTAGCTCAATTAAGTTATTTTGCTAACAGAATAGATTGAAAATAGTTGGGTTTCCATCAACGCTTTTCATGAGCATTTTGAAGTATCACATTAGAAAAGGTTGATGGAAACAGCAAAAAAAAAAATAATAAATGAAAAAAATAATAATAATAATAATAATAATAATAAATGTCCTCAACTTCACAAAAAGTTTTTATGCTTGCTTGAGACAGTTTTTGGATTTTCCAAAAAGAGTTACTGTGCAAAACGGGAGATGTAAACACATTTTCTGAATAAGCTCTGACGTTGTGATCAGCTGTTTCTGCGGTCAGCGTCCTCCAGGATATTCCCATAATGTGTGAAAACATAGCTGGAAGCAACAACAGGTACATGTGGACTGCCATCATGCAGCRTTGCCAATATTAGTTGATATGACAGAATCATTACAACTTGTCTGACAGCAACACATTCCTGATAACTTATCTATTGTCTCACGATGATCGTCCCTTCTATTTTGCAACCTCTGCTTCCTGTTTATTACAGTCGTGTGTAACGTCAACGTCTGACGACATTACGCTTTACGTAGCCTGGTTGATTCACTCCAAACCAGCAAATGGAAACGTGCCAAATTCACATTTATTTTTTCTTTGCAACATTTTAGAATTTTGTTCTAAATTTGCCCTATAATTGGATGGAAACATGCCCAATGTTGACTTCAAATAGTTATTGACAAAATTTTAAATCATGTTCTTGTAGAAGCTGTTAATGATCAGTCTCGGCTACTTCCAACCCAAGTTTTAGTTCAATTTGTGTAAGTGAAGCTTAACCATTTGGGGATTTTATGGTCAATCGGCTGTGGCAGCCATCTTGAATTAGCTTGGCTCCAAAAGATAAACAGCAATCAAGTTTGCAGTGGGAGATGATATTGATGTTGGAGTTTTTACTAATAGGATGTTATAATTACCTATAAACAAGTTATAAAAACAATATGTGGTAAATATAGGTATCATTATTCATGGCCTTCAAAGTGTTTGAGAAGAGATTATGATTGCTTTTTGTGTCAGCAAAATTCAGTTGAAATGTCCAAAAACATTTCATTTAATCAATATTTCAAACTCTTATTCTAATAATGGCACATGATGCATGAAGGTCTTGTAAATTTAGCTTTGTAAAGGAAAATCTAATGGGATCCTTTAATAACATAAAATAAAAGATTGTCAGTGTAACAAACAGTTTATAAATTTCAATAGTAAATAAATAACTAAGTAAAAGTTTATTTATTTAGCGCCTTTCACAGAAAAGGATTTCACAAGGTGTTGTACATCCATTATCAGATTGAAAAAGCAAATATATCACAATAACAGTACAGTTAATACATTCATAGTTAACCAATTAACGGCATCAATCAATAATAATTAAATGTCATGCTTGATTCAAAAATGGGAGATTACCAACAACAGTTAGATGTAAGATAGGTTTCAATATTTTAAACAAAAAACAAAMAAAGGAACTAAATTTATCTCTCACCCTAGGTGGAGGGGATGGACACTAGACTGGAATAATACACATGACTGTTAGTCAGGGCTTATAAACTCAAGCTGTGAGGTGTTGAATACAGTATATTCAGTTAAATGCTTGAGTGAAAAGATGTGTTTTTAGTTGTTTTTTAAAGGAGTCAGTGTTATCAAGAGATCTTAGGTGGAAGGGCGTTCCACAGTCTGGGAACCATTGAGGAAAAGGCACAGTCACCACTGGTCTTGAAGCGAGTACAGGGAACCAAGAAAAGATTCTGGTCTTGTGAGCGCAAGTTGCGTCTGTGGTTATAAGACGAGAGAAGACTGGAGATGTAATTCGGCACTTGGCCGTGTAGAGCTCTAAAAGTGAGAACCAGGATTTTGAACTTGAGTCTGAATTGTACAGGTAGCCAGTGGAGGTCTGATAATATAGGGATGATGTGAGAGAATTTAGATGTTCTAGTCTAGCAGCAGAGTTTTGAACAAGTTGAAGCTGCTTTAATTGTTTCTGATTCAAGCAGGTGAACAGGCTGTTACAATAGTCAAGACGGGTTGAGATAAATGCATGGATTACCATTTCCAGGTCAGAGGCAGGCAGGAGGGGGCAGAGTTTAGAAATATTACGGAGTTGAAAATAGCATGACGAAACCAGATTTTTGTCATGTTTATCTAGTGACAGKTCTGAATCAAAATTGACTCCCAGATTTCGTATGCTCTTTTTAACAGTCAGCACCAGAGAGCCCAGTTGTTCTTTTATCTGAGGGATCTTATTTTCAGTGCCAGGATCAGAGTTTCMRTCTTGTCAAGAAAGAAGTAAAAGGTTGTCAGAGAGCCATTTGTTGACTTCTGTCATACAGTCTAAAAAAGAGATCAGCTTGTGGGAACTTGACTCATTAAAAGAGCAGTATAACTGCAGGTCATCAGCGTAGAAGTGATATGAGACATCATAAAAATTGTCAATGATCTGGCTTAGGGGGCGGATGTAGAGGAGGAACAGGAGAGGCCCCAGGATTGAACCCTGTGGTACGCCACAAGTGAGTTGAGCTGGTTCAGAATAAGTTTGATTTGAAGTACTGAGAAAGAGCAGTCGGAGAGGTATGAATTAAACTAGTTTAATACAGCACCAAATATCCCTATGTTTTTCAGGTTGCGTAGTAGAATGGTATGAYCAACAGTGTCAAAGGCAGAGGAAAGGTCTAATAGGAGCAGAACGGTGTAGAAGCCACTATCAGGAGACATTAGTATGTCATTTGATACATGTAGAAGAGCGGTTTCAGTGGAGTGAAATTTGAGGAAGCCAGAGTGGTAAAGGTCGTGAATATTATTTTCATCCAGGTAAGCAGTAAGTTGTAATGATATATTTTTCTCCAAGACCTTAGACAGGAAAGGTAATTTAGAGCTGGGCCTGTAGTTGTTGAGATCTAAGGGGTTGAGGGACTGCTTTTTTAATTTGGATTCAACGGTTGCTTTTTTAAAGTTGCTTGGCACACACCCAGATATAAGTGAGAGGTTCAGTAGGTCAACAAGTGAGGGCCCCACCACATCATAAACAGTTTTTAAAAAGCTAGGTGGTAGAACGTCAGGAGGGGAGGTTGAGGATTTCATTTTCTGGATTACAGTTCCAAGATATTCTGAGGTTACGAGATCAAAGGAAGACCACGATAGCGTGGGGCTGGCGTCAGGTYTGATGGGTAAGTCTGTTGGATCAGAAGCCAGTTTAAGTGGGATGCTACTCCGGATGTAAGTAGGATGTTAAACTGATGACCTGTCCATATTATACCTCACCTGTCACTTAGTGAGCACAGGAACTAGCAACATTTATGCTATAATTATTGCTGAAATTTGTTTGTTTCAATATGCAAGTAAAGGAAACATTTATGAAACTATAAAAGTTGACTGCTCAGAGCCCTAAAATTATATATCCTGTTAATCACTTAGTATACAGAATAATGTTCATTTTTACTATCTTGGACTTGCACACTCGAGGGAATGTAGTTGGCATTCAAACCCTCATAGTGAGATTTAATCATCGGGGTGCACATTAGGCTTCAAACCTTTTTTTGTAACTGAAATGTTTGAAGACAGGCCATCAATCAGAGGATGTGGATGGAGCCTCTGAGAGCCAGCCTTCACTGTGCTGACATGTCTCTATGCGGGCCATTGTGTTCTTGCCAGTAGTAGATCTCTTTCTAAAGCTGCTCGCAGAGTTGCAAAGGTATTAGCGATTTTCCTTCCAAGGATAAATGGGACAATGTAGTTTTACAGCTTCCCTGTAAGGTGTACGGCCTGCTGTTAACGAGTCAGGGCCAAAAAACACAATCAGTAGGAGAGAAAACGAAGCAAACTGYCAGCAGTAAGAACCTCTGTGTGCTTCAGAATGGATCCCAGCCAAAATGGATGAAGTAGATTTCCCACTTARCATTTATTCTCATTACCTTCCTTTGGTGCAAACCTTTTAAACCAAACCAGAAAGACCTTGCTGTTTCTGCATCCAGCTGAGCATTTGGATGTGTGTTTTGCCCACTACAGTTGGCTGTTTGCTTTCAATAAATATTGAAAACTTTTAAAGAGATTTCTTCTGGGGACTTACAGTGCAGTGAATCTCTCTCGCTAAGCTACTTTTCTCTAACCCCCTTAAGATGTTTCTGAAACATTTAGGTGTGCACAGGAAAACACAGGACAGAATGAGGCGGCGCTTGATCCCGTTCAGGTTCTTAGAGAAAGAAGAAGCAGTTGGATTTATGGAGGAATCAGCTCGTTTGTGTTGCTTCCTCCGTTTCCTCTTTTCTTTGTACCCTAACTGACAATATCTTCTTTTTCCATCTTATTAATCTTCTCCCTCTTTGTCCTCTAACGCTTCTCTGTTTTTTTTAGTATTTCTCCATTTGTCTTTCATGTTCTCTCTACTTTCCCCACTAACCTGCCTGTGATTCCCTGCAGGGCTCTTTTCCTGGGTTTRTCCAATAACCCTCATATCTCCGATTTACACCTGGACATCAGCAGCTGTGAGGTATGCCCTGTCGCCCTTTGCTCATCTGCTTTTCAGATTGAAACTCCAAAGTTGCTTATCAAGTCCCACTCATTTCGTCTGCCTCCCACAGTTGAGGTCAGCAGGTGCCGCCGTGATTCAGGAGCTGTTCCCTCGCGTTGCGTGCGTGGGGACTTTAGACGTCTCTGATAATGGTAGGAAACATTTCTTGTGTGCACACCCACTGACAATGCTCCTCAGATGGATTTCTTGATTACAGCTGAGGCTATTTGGACCTCTACATTTGCAGATTTCGACATGAAATGCTTCTTTTAAATGTATGACATCATAAAAAGAAAGAAAAGGAATTGGAAACAAAAAAAACTTACCAGATTAAAACTGTATGAGATGATCAATGGCTGGATTCAACTGAGCAGCCACATCAGATTAACCRGAGAGTCCTGGGTGAAGATGGGAGCACAGTACGACCCCGGGAGGTGCTGACGTTGGCAGAATTAGATCACGGCTGACACGGCTCAGACGCCCTGGAGAATCTGATGAGAACGAGAAGGGGAAGGAGGCGGAGTGCACTAAAGTAGAAGTTCCCATACTCCGACAGGAATAAATTCAAAACTTCTTATTGGCTCAGAAATTATGCAAAAACGTTCTTTGGCTGWGAGCAGCCACACTGAATGTAAAGATTGGGATTGTACTGAAAATGTGAGAAACAGAGTAGAACTGCGGAATGAGGCCAGAATCCCAACAGAAGAAAAAAAGAAAGGATGAAAAGAAACAGATTGTATTCATTAAACTTGTTTAGCTTCAAATCAGACTTGAAATCATTTGTAAAAGAAATTAGAGATGATATTGCAAACTCAGTCCTAAAAGACAAAATGAGGTGAAAACTCATGATGGCATCCTTAACATTTTAAAGCAGAAAAAATAATTGAAATACTTTTGAGTAAAAAGTTTAAATTTGTAATAATAGCCAGATTTATGACATCTTGCTGGAACAGCTGCCCTGTAGACATGTGTGAATGTGAATTGGATTTTCTGCTGTAAACACAAGACTGCAGGGGTAAAACATTGGTTTATTCATGAGGCAACACTTTTTTCTTTAATATTTTATTTCTCATTCATTAAAACTCATGCTCTAAAAGCACAATGAATCTTGGCAAGTTTTTCAGGGAACTTGAGATAATTTACAATAAGCTAAAAAAATAATAACCCAAAATATCTCAGTCGACCCAGACGCCGCATGGACGGCCCTTTGTTGGCCCAGATGTGGTTTGCCAGAGGTGGTCCCTGCATGGGTCAGCACCTCATAAACTAAACTACAATAGGGCCAGTTGTGGCATGCCAGACCTGGCCCACATCCAGCTAACAAAGCATTTGCCGTGCTATAAATTATTGTTTGTTCGTATGTTTTGTGTATGCTGTTCCTAACCTGACTATGGGATAGATGGGCAAGTTTATTTATGTTTTGTTTTGTTGGCAAGTGTACTAAAATAAGTCACTTTAATTATTTGATAACAGGTCCATGGATGGCATCAGACTACACTGTAATAATAAAATATTTTCTTTAAAAAAAAATCTATGTATTTTACATACATTAGTGTGCAGGAAATTTAATTGTGAAAAATGACCAATATATTGGCACAACTTCCCTGCCTTTGACTCAGTCAGAGTAAAAATCTAACTTCACTGATTTTTTTTCCTCTCTTCTCCGTGGGATAGTTGTCATATCTAAACGAAGTCAGTGATTTGAAAAGTTTAGGGAGCACACTAGACTGTGTCTTTGTGTGTCCTGAAAGGTGCTTTTTAAATGGTATTATTATTATAATTATAATAAGTAGCTATAGCACTTCCATCATAACAAACAAACCAGAAATCTAGTTTTAAAAACACAAAGAGATTTCTAAAAGCTTTGTTGAACCATTACTGCTCAAAAACAAGACTGTAAGAAAACTGTGTGAATGCTGATTCAGCATTAATGTATTACTAGTTAAACGTTTTCATGACTCTATTATGTTCTGCAGCTGATTTAAGTTGTGTATGTACAACTGCTGAATGCACAGACATTTAATAGATACACTTTTTTAGAGCAATGTGATTCACTGTTACTGAAACTGTGTATCTCATCCTAACTGTACATATTTGTAAGACTGGATCCCCACAGGAAGTTTTTACCACATTATAAGGTGTTTAGATGCTGGGATTATAAGAGAAAAACTTCAAAGAAAATTTCCTCACCTTGAAGCTGCTACATGCTGGGACCAAGGTTTATGCTTTGATGTTGCTGTAATTGGAGCAAATATGTTTTACCTTTTTCTATTTACCTTGCTAACCACTTGCTGCAAAAAAAAGGCAAGTTGGATAACTACCGACAAGTCCATTATCTGAACAGCCATTTATTCCTGAATTATTTGAATGATGTCAGTGGCATTAATGTGTCAACACACCTGCCATTTTAGCGATTTCTCCCCACTTCTGTTGTGCTTCAGGAAACCATGATAAGATGAACCCGCCTCGCCGTAAAAGCACTTGAGCTTTTTTTTCCTTTTTCTGTCTGAATGGAGCATTTCAGTCTTGGATACAGTCATATTTTGCCATGGTTACCACTTCCTCTTAGCAGCACCCTCCATTTTTCTTTAGCTGTTTGTAAAAGGCTGAGTGGGAGTGGGGGGGGGGGTTAATTGGGAATACTTTAGAATTCCAGTGGGAGGTGAATTTTTCTTTTTTTCATAAAAAAGGACCATCGTTAAAGGACAAGCTCTGGGAGCCAGAAATGTTCACACCTGGCAGATTAAATGATGAGTCACTGCTGCAACTGGTGCACAGCCCAGAAACTGTCTGATTAATAAAACGATTACACTTTTTTTATTCAAAAATATCTAACATTTTCTCTTCTTGTATTAAAGACTAAAAATGTTATGCCTGTTCTCATATTTTATAGGTACTCATGCACTTTAAATAAATATTTGCTTGCAACTAAGAATTCAGTAGCCGTGCTAATGTCTATGTTCTTTAGTAATATTAGTTGTTTCCTGTTCAGGTTTGGATGCYGACTTGTTGGCGGTCATCCCAGCGCTGTCCCGACACCCCTCCCTAAAACACTTGATGTTGGGGAAAAACTTCAACATGAAGGGCAGGTAGGGGGTTCAACACATGGACACCGACAGCACACACGCCCATGCAGATGATGAATGTTTCCTSCCTGTCTCTGCCTCCTCAGGGTGCTGGACGAAATCCTGCAGAAACTAGTTCATCTGGTGCAAGAAGAAGAGTGTGTGAGTTTGATTATGTAACATATTGTACACGCACACGCGCATATTCTCCGTGGTGCCACGCACAGATGCACGCCCACGCACAGACTCTGCTGCCTCGCGAACGTCTCCGGCACTCGCGAGCGCACGCTCGTCACYGTGCCGAATCCTTGTCCTCGTTTATGCCTGTTTAAGCTCAATCTCCCACCTGCCACACTCGCAGGATGCAAACAAGCACGCAAGTYAGGTTGTCTTTGGGCACGGCGAGTGATTCATTTGGTCTCAGTTTATTCGGGAATCTCCCGAGGCCCTCGCTTTTTCTCTGCTGTGCAGATCCAACCTGACAAGTTGCCTTCTCCATTATTGACTTCATTTAATGGTGATAACAAACGGATGCTCATTCACAGAGATGAAAGTGAAGCTGGCGTGGTTTGCACACTAACGCATGCTGGTGTTAATGTGGATTTCATAGTGAAGAGACTGTCTGGATCATTTAAAGTTGTGTTGCAGAAAGTTTGTGAAGCAATAATCGCTTACGTGATAGAACAGCCGCAGTTTGACGTGAAATATAATGCTCAAATGAAAGACCAAATTATGCGCAGGAGATCAATTCAGTTCTCAGACCTGAATATTTATTTACCGACATGCAAGGGTTACTACATGACTCAGAACTGGTCTACTTTCCAAAGCACCCCTCGCTGGAGACTCAGGAATTAGCCCCAAATCATGGGTTCTTCCAATGTTTATAGAAATCCTGGTCACACCCCAGATATGATATAGTAAAGAAGGAAATAAGTTCTAGAAATTAACACTAAAACTAAATAGAGACATGTTGATTCTCTTACTGTTTAAAGCATGATTACAAATGAAGCAATATGTGTGTGTCTAAAATTCAGCCAGTCAACCACAAAATGTCCAAAGGGCTCGACACGGTAACACTTTCTTTTACGGTACCCTGATTACCGTGTAATTATAAGGTAATAAAATAATGTAATTAAATGGTAATTACTACCTTATCACCATGTAATTACCTGGTAATTACGGTACAAAAGAAAAACTACTGTTTGTAAAACTACCTTTATTGGGTAACTACAATCAAGTTACTATTCAATAGTAACTCAACACTATATTTATAACCAAAATAATGCAACTAAATTTTGGGGTTAGTGGTTAATTGCAATAAAATATAACTTTAAAACTGTCCAAATTACGTACTACTTATTTAGGTGTACCTTATTATATGGTAATAAGGTAGTAATAACCATTTAATTACATTTTTGTTACCTTACAATTACATGGTAATAAGGGTACCATAAAAGAAAGTGTTACCCTCGACACACGGGAGGCGACGTCGCTCGCTCTCCATTCATTTCCTATGGAGCTTGTGCGATGAGGCGACAGTCACTTGCCCTCCTCCAGCGAAGCGACCGTGAAGGGGTTATCTTCGGAATCAAAGTGGGCGTGTCACAGGAGTGGGCGTGTCAAAAGCATAAACACTGTGGACTACGAGGCCTACATGACGGTATCCTTAGATCCTGCTTGATCTCTTTACAGCCTGACCCTGACCCCGACACTGAGGTTAACCAGGAGAAATGTGACCAAAGTAGGGTTCTCCAGAAAAAGTGGTGCTGTACAGTAACGCCCCTTTTGTTCTTGTCCAATGAGGTGGTGCCGTACGGTATCGCCCCTTTTTTGCTTGTCCAGTCAGGTGTGTCCGTTTAACAAAGTCCGTCAAATCAGGTGTGTCGCTTTAGAATCGCCTTTAATTGTGACACGCCCACTCGTCTGCACTCGTCCGCAGAGACCCCTACTTGAGGCGACCATATGCACGAAAATCGTGCATATGAAATCACGCGCTCGTACTTGTAGACATGCATATGCGAGCTTGCGACGTGACAAATGAAAGGTGAAAAATGTTCAACTTTTGTCGCTGTCGCTTAGCGTACAACCAGTCAGCGAGGGTTTCATTGACTAACATGAGCAGAGAGTATGCTACACACTGCAATTAGCTAACATTTTCACCAAGTGATTACTAAAAAAGGCAGCTTTGTGGGAATTTGTTGGCGCCAGGGTGAAGGTACAGTATCTGGTAAGTTTTTCCTCATTAAATTGTATCTTGGTGTGTGTTTGTTTTTCAATATCATTAGCATCGCAAGATTTGGTTAGTTTACATGCCGGTAATGCACACCCCACTTTTTTGTGAACCACCTATAACCTTTACAAGAGGCAGCAGAAGAACCAATCAAATTTTGTGAAGACAAGCAACCTGAGAGCGCGATTCCCAATGCTGCAATCGCTATCGCGTCCTGTGTGTCGGGTTTAACCCCGGCTGTGATGACAGTCATTAATCGCTGTAGTTTGTCGCTCCCCGTGTGTCGAGCCCTTGTGATAAGAGTCAAGAACAAAGTGGATTGCTGGCATCTTTAAACAACTCCAGTCTTAATGTTTTTTTAAGAAAGTTAAGAAAAACATTTAAAATATATATCTTAGTCTCCTAAAGATGTAGCTRTGTTATTCATTGAAATGAGCTCCTTGTTAACAATAAACCATCCAAGTGGAAAAAGGTCAGCTCACGTCAAAGGGGAGCAAATGAAAGCTGACAGCATCATATTTCAGCATTTTGGAAATATTAGCTTAATGTTTAATGAATGCAAGGTTACCACCAGAGGACTGTTTATGTAAGCCTCTACTGTATATTTCACTGTGGGTGAAAGTTTTTTTTTCCTTTAAGCCATCTGCCATAAACTTTAAAGCTCATAAGCTATTTTCTAACTCTCAGTTGTGTTAATTTATTCAGGCCTTTTGTCTCATGCCAAACTGTTAGCACCAGATGTATCAGGTTTTATCACAAGTTTACACTTTTGCCCAGAAAGTGAGCACATTTTATATCTCTACAGTTGGGCTTTTTTTTTTTTCAAACCAAGACTGTTTATATATTTAATAAAAAAGCCAGCATGTGCATTGGGAGATGCAATTAGGACTCCCGGATATATAGAAAATGTGTTGATTTTGCAATATCAGTGTGTGCAAAAACTTCTAATGAAACACAGACACAAACAGCATCCCCACAATATATATTTGGCTGCTAGAAGGTCCCTTACTGCCCTGAGTCAGTCAGCATATGGAAAATACAAATATGTTGACAGAACATGAGGATGTATTGTTTTTGCAGAGTTCAGAAATTTCATTCCAGCTGCATATTTTCCTATTTGTGTGCAGTCCTGGACAGTGAAATAAAATAATGAGAAATGAGCATAATTATGCTTACCTGAAACACTTCTATGAATGCATTTAGTTGCTTATCTGAAGTGTTAGCTTAAAGCTATGGTAAAAAACCTGCTGCTTGTTCTTCGCTTTGCTTCAGAGAGTCTGGACTCTTGACTATTGAGAAACATTTTCTTGCTGGAGGCGTGGACTCTGTTGAAGTTTAAAACGATTGGATCTGATTTTACCCAATTGCTAACATTCGGTCGTGACCCATGTAGTATGCCAAATCCATCGTGAAGAAAGCTAAGAYGCCAACTGGAAATTTTATTTAATTTGGAAGTCTTGTCAACACGGACTGAACGACTTCATTCCCTTCCTCTGCTAAATGACCAATAATCTTTTTCATGGTCACACATGGGATTTATCCTCATACCGTACAGTAAATTCTGTTGCTCAACGATGCGGAAGCCTTACAAAGTTTTCATATCCTCCTCCTTGCCCGACTTGCATCCTGCAGGGCCTGCAGTCCCTCTCCCTGGCCGACTCAAGGCTCCGCCAGCGGGGCACCGTGCTGGTCAACACCCTGGGGTCCAATGCCTGCCTGAGGAAGGTGGACCTGAGCGGCAACCTGCTGGAGGACTCGGGGGCCAAGATGCTGAGCAAAGCCCTGCAGATCAACACAACGCTCAGGTCTGCGCTTGCATGCATGCTAATGTGTTTCTCTTTTTGATCAATCATTGACGCTTGCAGCAGGAGCAGGATCAAAACTGCAGTAACCAAGAGCGCTCACAGTTTTCATGACTCATTCGACATGAAAGGACGATGTTTTAGAGAATTGTTGGATAGAAAACGAAGATGTCAGAGAGAGGGAGAGGAGCTGAGAGGCCAAACAGTGCTTCAAACGTACAGGCTGTGTGTGAACAAAACAGAAGATTTGGTGTTGAGCAGTCTGAGGGCCGCTGAGGTGAATCAGCAGGAGAAAGAAAAGGTGTTTGGGGTCTGCTGTGTACTATAAAACCTGCGCATGTGGAGGGAAAATATAGATGTGTGTGTGTGCGTTTTGGAGGCTGGAAGAAGTAAAAAAGTGAAGTGAAACAGCAAAAGAGGACAAAATCAAAAAAGGAGCGGGGATTGGGGGGGGCTGAATATGGACTAGAAAGGGGTGGGACAGGAAGACCTCCTAGGGAGAGAGATTGAAATTTCTAGGGCAGAACGAGTCGGGGGGGAGAATGAAAGATAAGGAGAAAAGATGAATAGAAGTGAATATGAGCTACAACTGGCTGCACGGATGAAAAAGCCCCAGTTGGACAGTGTTGGGTGTAGGTGGAGAATGTGTGCTGYGGAACCACAGAAGCTCATTAGCTGCATGGAAAACGTTATTATTTTCCAGATTTTATATAACCCTTCCTCTGTGTGCATGTCGAAAAACAAAGATCCAAACGGTTTTATTTGTCAGCTGCATGGTCACAGTGGTGCTGAAACTGTGTTGCAGTGTGTGTGTGTTTGTGTTTGTAATTATAAGAGTTTGACGGTGTGTTTGAAGCAACTAATCCTGTTGTTTCTGGTCATCTCTGGACTTGTTCCATCCCCTTTCCCGCCGGTTCAATCCCCCCTCAGAAGTGTGACGTGGGATCGCAACAACACCACCGCAACAGGCTTTCAAGATGTGGCGAGAGCTCTCGAGCAGTAAGACGAACGCACACACATACATACGTACACTCATGAAACAAATCACTCACACACCCCTTACAAAAGACAGATAACCATCTCTCTGAAGTGKTTACATTTCACAGCATTTCATCAGTCGTCTGATGTGTGTGCCAGTCAAAGCTGTGTGGCTGTGAAGTTTCTGCTCACGTCTGTGTGGGTGTGTTTGCAGGTTTTTTTTTTTTTTTGTTGTTKTTTTTTTTTGGTGGGGAATGGACGACATCTGTTTACAGCCTTGAGCGTTACTTGTTTCTTTTAGGTACCATCAAGATTTTTCCTATTTATTCATTCATCGGTGAAATTATCTGCTTTGTGTCTCCTGCTGTTTCTCTCCCTCCTCTCTCCAACAAGTAGCAACTTTACTCTGCAGTACATGCCCCTCCCCCTTTGTGACATCACCCAGGCGTATCGCAGTGCACCAGAGAAGACAGAGCAAGCCCTGGCCAAGGTGAGCATGGGCTTCAGCTTCTTCATTTGCATCATCATATAGGAGTTCACAGCTCAAGATTCAGATTTACCGTATTTTACACAGATTCAGGTTTTTCAACATAGCACTAAAAATTTAGGAAATTTTTGTTTGTTTTATAATTTTAAACTCTTTTTGGCAATATATTTTACACTTGGTGAAATTAAAACTATTTGACCAAAGAAAAACCAGAGCAGGACTACAGAGAGATAAATATGATTTAGATTTTTATTTCTGTGACAGGAGACACGACATTACCAGCAGTTATTTCATTACTCGGCTTTAAAGCAGATCCTTTAATCCCACAGCTGACTCTGCTAAAAATGAATTTTTTTGTGTGTGTGGATCTCTGAGAGCAGGACTTCAATCTCCGAACTCGTATAGTTCTTCTTTTTTACTTTGTGATGTCACTTATGAATGGACACTTCCTGGTATGTGTGGCAGGAAACGTATCCTTATATGGTGTTTTTTGGGGTGGTAATTATGTAAATCACCTCTCCCCGTGCACCAGCAGCTGATACGCATTCATCAGTTTACGCTCCTCATTTACACACTTTTCCTGAAGATAGAAGAGTTTGTTGAATCTGACGTGGCATGTTCGTACGAACCCTTCGTATGAACAAAAGTAAGAGAAATTTAGGATAAGAATACGGACATATTCTTGCATGAGGCCCAATGTTAGCTGAAGAATGAACTGCCACACAACAGCTGTGTGTGACAATGGTGATGAGAGGGAGGAGGAGGTACAGGGATATTGTGGCTGGGTATGGGTCTTCCACATGCTACTGAGCACCCGCTTACTTATATGATGTAATTTAGCATCTTCCTTCTGTAGGACTCTCTACGTAGCATGACCTTGCTTTGTTTTTCACCAGAAAGCCCATCATAATGCAACCTGGGCTCAAACCTGTAGCTTCAGGATTACAAGACCACGGCACTGACCATGGAGCTACCACGGCTCATTTTTAAATGTCCAATACGGTTTGTTTCTTCAAACTTCAATCATCCAGTCCAATAAACACCACACACTAAGAGTCAATAGCAGAATAAACTGTTTGGCATCAGTAGAGACGTGTTGGCAAGGATTTCATGAGTACAACCCACATACTCAATGTTGCTGCTTAACCCACAAGTGCATTTCCCTTACAAATGTAGCACCAGAAGCAAACAAGCTATAAGATTTATTGCCAAGTAGCACYGTTACAACAAAAAAAACAACAAATTATTTTTATCTATTTTAATGCTGAGATTGCATAAAAAATAATTTTCAAGGTAAAGATTAAAATAGTTGTAATTCACATGTCAGTAGTGTGCTTCATTTTGTTTTATTGTGGAGGATGTGGAATAGCTGAAATAAAGAGAATGGTCTTTTTCCGTTATGAACTCAAATGAATGAACCCAAACATAAAAATGTTAGCTCTTAGCAAGTTGTTGCTTTAAACAAGTAATTGTTGAGTCCCTCCATCCATCCATCCATCTATCCATTTTCTTCTGCCTATCCGGGGTCGGGTCGCGGGGGCAGCAGCTTCAGAAGGGAGGCCCAGACCTCTCTTTCCCCAGCCACTTCTTCCAGC